TTCACTCTAGTCTTACACTGCTAAATTAGGGACGGCTAGCGCAGATAGCCCTCGTGTAGCTTTGCGCGAAATTCAAAAACAAACAAACAGATTTACAACGCCAAAATCAGGGGTTCGATTTCCAACGGTGGACACAGCAGATAGCCCGATGTGGCTTTGCCGTAAGAAAATAAATTAGAAATACCGTTTACACTTGTTTACTTATAGGTGGTTTTGATATTTATTTACACGGGTTTATTAATATTTCTTAACGTGTATGTATGTATCTTTGTATGTGTTTCTTGTTATTTATTTACATATACGCTTTACTTTTTATTTACGTGTCTAATAATATTTTGAACTCCAGATCAACGCATTGTGGCCTTTTTTATAATATTTATCCCCAATTTTCCAACAACACTAACTTTCTAAAAGCAGCCTGAGAGAAAGTAAAAGGAACTTTAGGGATGTTACTAGAACATGTTTATTAATTAACTTAATTCGTTAATCTTAGTTTAAGTGTTTTGTTTACTTACTACACTCACCCCTTTAAGACTAAATTGTTGTAAACATTTGAAGTGTAATTTGGAAAAACAAAAACTACTGTGGACCCGATGAATAAACGATCTTCAGAGTGTACCTTTAACCTATATTTAACCTTGTAGCCACACCGGCAATTTGATATCCTTGTGTGTGTGTGTGTGTGTGAAAAAAAAAAACCTTGGGAAAATTACACATTCTGAGACAATAATTTTTTTTTCGAGAGATTGTGCCAGATGGCAAATTACACCAGCCATTAACAGCTGACGCTTAACAACTTAATCTACTCAGATCCTGTCGGAGTCTTATACAAGCGATATCTAGGTTCAACTGATCAGTAAATATATGTCAGTATCATGGAAGAGTCACGTGATCGTGTAGATAGATGTTAGTATCATGAAAGAAAGTACTGTAAAACCGATGCTGAGAATCGTTACTTAGAGAAGTAAGGCGTTCATCTAAAATCAAACAGTTAAAAAACAAAAAGCAAGAAAATTGAGTATTTTCGAAGTTTACTTTCCACAGTCTTTACATTCATGTGCGATCATTGTATGTGACGTTTTTTTCATGTTTTCATGTGACATTTAACATGGATATGAAGGGAGAAGGAGTGTTTTCATGTGACATTTAACATGGATATGAAGGGAGGAGGAGTATTTTCATGTGACATTTAACATGGATATGAAGGGAGAAGGAGTGTTTTCATGTGACATTTAACATGAGATTGAAGGAGGAGGAGTGTTTTCATGTGACATTTAACATGAATATGAAGGTGGAGGAGCGTTTTCATGTGACATTTAACGTGTTAGTTTTGAATTTAGCGCAAAGCTGCATGAGGGATATCTATGCTAGCCGTCCCTAATTTAGCAGTGAAAGGACTGTAGGGGAAGCAGCTAGTCATCACCACCCACCGCCATCTCTTGGGCTACTCTTTTACTAACGAATAGTGGGATTGACCGTCACATTATAACGTCCCCACGGCTGAAAAGGCGAGCATGTTTAGTTGAACGGGGATTCGAGCCTGTGACCCTCAGACTGCGAGCTGAGCGTCCTTTCCACCTAGTCATTCTTTGTCAGTGAATATTTCTGGTCGTACGTTGTTTTATTCTTACTGTTTCTTTGTACAATGAGTGCGTTTGCCTGTTAGTTTCTGTTTATAAATTGATAATTAAAACTGTAATTATTTAATAATGATTTAAACAACTATGCATATCGTTTTCTATTGGCGTCAATAGAGACTTCGATTAAATTATTTCCCAAGAAAAAGTCTGTAGCTACAACGTTAGCACAATGCCACCACCGCTCCCGGAACCATCTAGTAACAGGGCCATTGACATCCTGTGCCATCTGGCGGAGGCCTCCGTACTTGTCTAAAATTACACCCAAAGTCTGAGGTGTGAGTGATGCCATGGCTGCCCAAAGAAAGTTGTATTTATACTTGCATACTCCGTTGTTTAGGTAATTTTCTAGACCTTCCAATGTATCTTTATTCGCCCATAGATGGGATACTGACTGGAACAAAAGGTTGCTTTCAACTCGTTGTGGTGCACCGTACCCTACTAGAACACGTTTATTAGTCTTCCACATATCGTTTAGCGTGGTGCTTAGGCCTGAAGATAGAGGCAACATGTACTCTCCTATCTCCTCAATTATCATTGTCATCACATCCTGGTGACGCTCATCTGCAAGTCTTCCTCCGAATCCAGAAGTGAATCGGTGAAAATCAACGATCAGTATTTCGTTTGTGGCATCCAAGAACTGTCGAATCTGTTTAAGAACTTCTCGCAGAGAAGGTTGGCTGCGGAAAGAGTCGTGGTAAATCCAGTATTGCTCACTGCTGTTAAACATTTTAGACCAACCGATACGCAAGTCAAGGAATCTAATGCCATAGACTAGTTGGTTCCATACGTCTTCGTCCTGGCAGATTTGGTAGCGAGAGATGATATGATCTTTGACCGAGTCGTACTCTTGGTGACTTCCAGAGTTGTGAGTACCAGGAAGCATTACATTTAGTAGAGTTTGGTCTCCGATGACGTCACGCATCTCGTACATCCAGTTAGGCCTGCCGCGAATGCAGTTACTGGCGAGAAGCCGATCTTGGTAAACGAGACCAATCCAGTATCCCTGGCAAGCATCTGTTAAATTCCCTGGTAAGAATTCTGGTCGATGATAACTAACTTTCGTCTCGTAATGGTCCTCTTCAGACTCGCTTGTGTACACTTTCTCTAGTGCATCACCAATGTTTTTTTCTGGATCATGGTCGAACAATCCCACCCATGTAGACTGGTCAGACACAACGTCTGAGGGTACACTGTGCCAGTTGAGTTCCAGTTGACGATAGGTGATCTTTCCCATAAAGCTCTTCGATGCCAAAGATGATACGGTCAGAAATACACTCGGGACGTCCACATCAGACTCAAGCCCAAGATATCCTAATAGGCAAAAATTTGTTCAGTATTAACTCAAAAAAGTGGGATAAATACTGGCTGTCTAATACTTTTATATCTTTAAACACTTGTATCATTTCAAATTGTGATTTCTAGAACTTTAAAAATCATAACTTATATATAAATAAATCATATTCGCGATGCATGAATGTACAGACAACATTATTTTAAAACATATTATTGGAATATTTAGTATTGCTCAAGATATAGTATTGAAATACCTAGGGTTGAGTAACATAAACTATTGGAATACCTAGGGTTGAGTAACATAAACTATTGGAATACCTAGGGTTGAGTAACATAAACTATTGGAATACCTAGGGTTGAGTAACATAAACTATTGAAATGCTTGGGATTGGACAACATATATTATTGAAATAACTATGATTGTAGGCTACTTGTGACCTAGTGGTTAGCGTGCCGGGGTGAGGAGCCGAGGTTCGTGTCTCGCTACGTCCAAAAAAACATCGCGCTCTACAATTTTTGGCCGTGAGGACTATTCAGTCTGATTAGAGTAACCCAAAAGTTGGCGGTGAACGGTGTTTCTTAGTTGTTTTCCATCTAGTCTAGCGATCTAAAGTTATGAATGGACAGCTAGCGACTGAGTAAGGTATTACAATATTTAGGAATGAGAAGTACGTGCTACTGAAATGCCCCGGATTGGGCAGCTTTTGTTGTTGTTTTAGCGCAAAGCTATACAATGGGAAATAAAATCCTAGATTTTAGTATTGTAAGTCCCTAAAGTCAGCCAGGGATGGATTGACTCATCGGAACACTGGGCCGGTGCATTTGACTCATTCTTAGAAACTCGTGTTAAATTTTAATTGTTTAGCCCAATATGCAGCATGTGATATCGCCCAGGCTGGTCCCTAAGTACCAATCCGCCCCTGAAGTTACCGTTGACCCACCGAGGGACTACATAACTTTTAAGCAATAATAAACGGTTAAGTATTCATAACTTGGAACTTCAATTCCTTATTTTTTTCGGGGGTGGGTGTGAGGTGGATGAATCTAAATTGTTAATCCATAAAATACCTTACAGATACAACTGGGTTAAACGGCCAAGTCAAATAACCCAGAGGTTCAGGTGAACCCCCTCCCTAATTCGGAACTACTCTCCAGACGGAAGACATTCAGCCAACAGCAACTGTCGTTAGGGCTGTTTTATTGTCGGACAGGTAAAGTCGGCAGTTAACGGATGCTTTTATTTACATTTCTATATAACATTTTGTCTGGAAGAGAGGGGGGAAGCTATTTTATAAATGGAAAGAGTAATATCAACATACAGGGTACGTCTTGATTAACATTCGACTACAGGTTAAATGTGTTAACTTACGACGTATTCTCGATAGAAGTGGGATTCCTACTGCATCCTGGCCACACAGTAGAAGAACAGCTGACAAAACAAAGAACCGTTTGCTGATCATTTTCTGGTATTCGTTAGCTCTGGAAACGATAAATGGAGTTAATCTGGGCACGTATATATAGTTTTATATGTGTATAACTCTGGAAGATTTGAATAATTATCAAATACATTTAATTATTATTAATTTCACAACTTAAAATGCGATGCCTTCTTCACTGTGAATATTCTCAAAAAAAAAGAAGAAGAAAGAAAGATTCGTTTCGAAAAAAATAAAATCTTTAATTATTTCTTCAAGGACAAAACAAGAAGATGATGTTAAATTATAGCTGATGTGAAAATAAACGTGGGGTTAACAAATACATTTTGGATGATTTAATGAAGTCGTTTTTTTATAAACGTCTTTAAAATAAATATTAGCTCATTATGGGTGTTATGATATCACACTCCTCCTCCTTCATATTCATGTTAAATGTCACATGAAAACACTCCTCCACCTTCATATTCTACTTGTGTGGAGTGGAAAATAAATATGTGAATATAAATGTAATAAATTAATAATTAAAGAACGTGATTTATTCTAATGTTAAATCCAAATCCATGAATCACTAGAGATCTTACCCTAACGTCAGAATATTAGACATCTTATAAAGTATTCTAAAAGATCTCTTAAAATACACGAGCATCGACAAATACTAACAACTCACTTTTTTTTTTTTTCGCTCATTCTTTTTCAATTTTTCTCGTCAGTTTTGGTCTGCTGTCTGTTTCTTAACCAGTGTCTATGTTCCTTTGTGTTGTCTGTTTTATATAAATAGGGTGTCAACAAGAGTTCTCCTGGTGTCTATGTTCTCTTGTGTGGAGAGGAAAATTAAAGTGTTAACAAGTGTTCTCCTGCTGCTGTCTGTTTGTTAATCTCTGCTGTCTGTTTCTTAACCTGTGTCTATGTTCCCTTGTGTGGAGTGGAAAATTAAAGTGTCAACAAGAGTTCTCCTGAGATGACTTGTTGTGAAGTTTCAATAGTACCGTTGCCCGTTAGATGAAACACCAAAATTTTGTAAGGATTCACTCGAGTCCCAGTTATTGGTTTTCGACTAGGAAGCATCTTGAATTTTGCCTGATATCCATGTTGGACACCAAAATCCAAAATAACCAACACCCATGTTTAAAACGTCACTATCTCAGGGTTCTAGAAGTCACGGGAATGATCATTTGATACCAAGATATATTGGGGCTCAAGGAATTTGATCATTGACATTGCAATGCCCCTAGGTGGGACAGCGATAAATCTATGGATTCACAGCGCTAGAATCAGGGGTTCGATTCCCCTGATCTACTTGTTTAAGTCCACTACAGCGTATGAATAATCTCAGTGATCAGTTCTTAAAAGTGAATCAAATATGCCCACAAGATTTTATTGTCACTTTAGAATGTTTAAAAACACAAAATTTTAATTTTTGAGAAACAAAACACTCTTTAATAATGATCGCCGTCCAAACCTTTATCACCAGTTGGTGCTATAGGCTATTGGTTAACATTAAAATCATAACGTCAGCTTTTTAAAAGCTCTACAACTCAGTCTTCTATAGACTGTGATTTTTTTTTTCATCATTAAAATAGAAAATTTTGAACCATTTTAAGTACCGAGTGTAACAAAACCTCACAAGTAAACTAATATTAAGTTAAACCTAAGACTCCCAATAAACATTTCATTAGAAGTATCCAAAAACGTTTCAATTTAAGTTTATTCGTTGCTTTCTCTGCGACGAGGCCTTTTGCTCACTACCAGATCTCATCATCTCAGCTGTGCCACAAAAAGTATAATTGAAATGGTATTTACAATACGAGTCACTTAAACAACCATGCATGATGTTCTTTAGGGTTAACTAGTAGGAAGAAAAATGCCAATTTTTCTCTGGTTCAATACATACGGGCTGCCAAGAAGTACAGTCTCGCGTATAAAATACGCTTTGTCTATTTCAAGCCCATGTTGTAGACTTGGACTATCACTCAATATCACAACTTATTATGCCGCCTGGTACAAAAAAATTCATATCAGCTGAAGTTGCAAAATAAATATTAAATATTCTCACGTTACATGTGCAATTAAATGGCTACACTTAAACTATTGATTAAAAACATGTTTTAGCCCTGTTTAAAAATAGCCTAACATTTTTTCTGTCTAAACTTATTTTTACGACGCTTACAACCTCAGAAGATAAACTTTTAGCAGTCAACTACGATACACAATAATCTATACCACCAGATGTGGTATTATTATAATTATATAGTTTAATTCATTAATTATTTTATTTAATTGGTAATTCAATTCTACTATAACACCTGTTATAGTTGGAAGAAACGTCAGTGGGTTTACTAACATTTCTAGACTACAAGACCAATCAACGTTCAAAGAAAACTAACACTCAAACCAGACACTCTACATCAGTCACTGAATTCTGTTGCTAGGAGAATAGACTTCATTCTTCATTAAAACATAACGTGTGGTGTGAAGGGTTATTCAACATTAAGAAATATTTCATTTATAATGTATAATATTGTTGATACTCAAAATCTCCAAAATCATAAACAAAAAGAGAAAAAAAGATTTAAATTTGTGACAAATCACTAATACAATAAAGACGTATTGGAACTACAGATAAAATTAAATTAAAGAGAGATCTGAAGACAACATTGAGTAGATCACTGGCCCCTGAGATAAAGAAAACTTTGAAATCAGCGACTCACGGAGAAAAGTTTGAGGAAAATTAAAGAGTCATTGATTCATAATCGGGATCGAAGCTCGGACATTTACTTTTAGGCTTTCTGTCTCATTAGTATTCGAGAGACGTCCGTTTTAATACTTCCTTCCTCAGGCACCAGGCTTTTTTCTCTTCTTCATCTCGATTCACGGAAAGAGCTTTGAAACGCTATAATTTAATTATTGTCTCAGCTAGAACTTAGGAGATTTGAAAAATGGGATTTCATGTCCCTGATTGACGAGAAATAAAAGAAAAGTCGAGAGAAGTTATATTTTTTTTAATTTCATTTATCGAATACCGTACTATTTTTTTCTCCTAAATTAGTTTTTCTTTTTTGACCTACTACTTCAATTCTTACAAATATCCTACTGGTAGGATGTCGACTGGGTGATATCAAATTAACCATTTTTTTGCGTCTTTTACATAAATATATATATATATATGGATATATATGGATATATAGATGATATATTTTATTTCAAATCAGAATTGGTGCTGTTTTTTTTTTCTTAAGTTACGTAAATTTTTGTGTTCTTGCTTTTGTTTGCCGTTTATTCTAAAATTACTTTTGAAAAACAAAGTATTCGAATTTGGGATCGGTTTGCTTGTTTAGCAGTTGAGCTGTCCTCTGTTGGCAGATTCAGGTAATAAATAAACGAATTTCACGCAAAAAATACTCGAGGGCTATATGCGGTATCCGTCCCTAATTCTGAAGTGAAGGAGGACTACAGGGAATGCAGCTAGGCAACATCACCCCCCCGCCAACTCTTCGGCTTCTCTTTTACTGACGAGTAATGGGATTGACAATTATATTATAACGCCCCCATGGCTGAAAGGACATGCATTTTCGGCGACGGGAATTTGACCTCGCGGCCCATAGATTGAAAGTCGAGCGCTCTAACAATCAGACCATGCCAGACTTCTGAGCCCTTACGATCTTAAAACTCGGTTTTCGAGTAGGTGCAACAAAGATAGCCCATTGTGTAACTTTGTACTTAGCAACAAACAAACAAGCTTATCTTCGATTCGCGAGTGAAATTTCAAAAACGAGACAATCTTGAGAATTGGGTTTTTTAAAACTTCATCGATGCGATCTATTCCCCATTTTCAATTGTTTCTTTTTAAGGGGCGCGTCCAACCAGTGCGCTGGTGGAAAACAGATCCATCTTTGGATCGCCCTCCCCCCATTCCCCACCTGAGATATCAGGGTTTAGGCTCTTGAGATTTTTGAAAATTCTCCCTACAATGTGGCTCACTCTAAGACGAAAGTACAATTCTTTTTTCTATGGGCGGGGCAGTAATATCACGTACTCTGAACCAAAAGAAGTATGACCAATCAGATGAGACCTGGGGGCGGTTAATAGTTGTTTGAAAAAGCATCAGTTCTCCGCAAAGGTATACAAAGACAGCTTGAGGTAATTTCAGCCTTGTTTGATAATTAAAAAGACTAAATATACTTTACTTAAAGGCAAAAAAAGCTTGTTTCTTTTGTATTTAACAACAGTTGACCCCTTCTGAAAGCACCGCTCTATCTCGAAACTTTTGTTCCACCCCCACAAATCCTAGAAATGCTACAGCTTCTTATATATATATTTCTCTCTCATACTAATCCTCACCCAGCTCAAAACAAGTAGCTAAGAAAGGTTGTTGCGCCAAAACTATTGGATTTATGTGATATATCTGTGAGGAAAACTTAAAGAACATTTGTTCATTGGTATCCGTTTACATGAGTTTTAAGCAACAGTTTTTTAACTTTAGAGTTTTTATGTGTTTTGTAAACTTGATTCTTCAAGAAAAACGATGATTCACACTTATGTATTATAGTAATCGTCTTTATTTCAGGGCTTATTGATTTCAAATGCACGTGGGATGTTAGTTTCTTACAGAAAAGAACGTCAAGATATTACGATAAAATTCTTAAAAGAGCGGATAGGTAACTGTACTACTAGCGTCATCTAGTGACAGTTTTGCGGACTACATTTGTTTCGTGCAATAAAAGTAAACTGTTTTTATATCCAACAAATGATTTTCGTATTACAAAAGTAGCTTTTAAATATTGGGTTTAAATTAATAATAAATTATCAATTATTAGTTGTTTTTCTCTCACTCTAGTTAGCTGGCATCATCTTTACGTTTTTCATTCCGTTCCTAAAAAAAGCTCGTCCTTTCAGCTATGGGAGCGTTATTATGTGCCGGTCTATTCCAATTTTCGCTGGTAAAGAGTAGCCCAATAGTTGGCGGTGAATGATGTTAACTAGCTGCCTTCCAACTGGTCTATCACTTCTAAACTAGGGACGGCTAGCTCTAGAGTAGCCTTGCGCGAAATT